CACTTCATTACAAAACCATCAATGTTTTGACGTAGACATTCAAAGATCACACGTAAAACCAAGTCATTCCTCTAAGGCTCTAGCGGTGTTTGCGCTTTTCAGGACCAATAATTTTGACGAGCCATTCTGGCTTATATGAAGAATTGTTGTGATATTGCCAATCCAAATAACACTCCAGAAGAAAATCCTATAACCGTTGCTTTCCAGTTCAACACTTCTCCTTCTTTTTCTTCGTCTTCTTGCTTTGGTTGTATTGCAGGCACACAAGAGTCAAAGCAACTTTGTTCTAGAGGAAGACCACGAAGCCCTGCATTCCCTTCAAAGGATGATATATCTTGTCCAATAATTTTTGTTTCCTTTGGTATTTCACCTCTGACTTGGTTATGAGACACAATTATGTACTCCAAAAACGAGAGGCTCCCTAATCCATTAGGAATAGTCCCTGAGAGTTTGTTTCTTGAAAGGTCTAATAGTTCCGTAAGATTTTCCAAAGACATAGGAATATGGCCTGTAGCTTCGTGACTGCACCTGTCGTGACATCGCATTCATTATTGTTGCGACCGGAAATCAAACTCGTTCTTGAACTGCATAAGCTAAGTGCTTGAATCTGGTCAGGGCGACAAGGAGCACGTCCAACAAAAGAGCTTCAATCATTAAGATACTTGAAGCAAAGCTAGAACAAATTAAATCATAAAGCATTAAAAATATAGATTTCTATTCATCCACTAAATTACTTAGGATACAAAGCCAAAAGAAAGAAAAGAAAAAGGAAGATCAGCTCCCACTTCGGTGTTGTGTAAAACATAACATCGGACTAAATAGTTGAAAACAGAATAAATAACAACTTAGTCTGATATATGCTTATCTCAATATATCATAATCAGTGCAGCTCCCCTCTTCTGTTTTGGGTGATTCCTCACTATTCTTCATCCGCTTCTGCTTAGTGTCACTGGGAGTTGGCCAAAAATATTCGCCAAAAGTCTCACCAACATCTAATACGCATTCTGGCCAAGTTGCTGTTACTTTTTGGGGATCTAATACGAGCTTTTTAGGCTCTACTAAGATAGCATTCAAGAATCTACCACCATGCAAACAGGAAAGACAATAGGTGAAGTTGACCTTTCCTGGAATGTCATTTGAGATGACGATTACACTTGGTGCTGGAATATAGTGCACTTCAGTGTCCATTGCCCACAAAAACATGTCATGTATCATCCTATGAGCTCTCGCAGTTTTATCCGCTGGAACTATATATCAAAGGAGATATAGATTATTAATTATATGTATGCAAAGAGAATAAAGAGTGTTAAGAGAGCTTAATTAGTGAAAAAGAACGTACCTTTGGGAACGAAATAGATTCCGGCTTTCTGATAAAGATCCCGCTGGACGTCTGGGATAGGTTCCTCCTCAGGATAATAAGCCCATATAGACATCACACCATAATAACCTTTTTGCTCAAGAGCCAATTCGATTCTCTGATAGATCCGATTAGGATTAGACCCAAGACGAATTGGGTAATCATTGAGGTCCCAGAATACGCCTACCCTAGGCCCTGAGACAGGTTGCATAGGCTCTGCAAGAGAAGGCATAAAACAAAAACAAAGTTAGATTACAATCGAATTAGATCCATTGATAACCATTAATTTTACTATATGCCATATCAATTAGATCTGCTGCTAGTTAACTATTACAGATTGGTCAAACTCGATGATATCTAAAAAAAGCAATTATGAGATAAAAGAGAAAATCTTACTGGAGAAATCTTGTCTGATCATGGTTTTGACGAGAGAGGAGTCTTCTTGGGTATTGACGGGAGAGATTTCAGGCTTTTCTGCTGCCTTTTTCTTCACCCTCTTCATCCGCGTCTTTTCAAATACTCTTTTGCTGAAATCAAAAGCTTTATCTAATATACCTCTTGGCCAGTCTGGGACAGTGAGCTTTTCTTGAGCAATATCCATAGGCTGTACTAAGAAAGTATAGTAACCTCTCGCATTCATATTTTTAAGAAAAGTGGTCAAGTGAATAAATCCTTGGTTGCTGATGTCATTTGAGATTACGATCAGATTTGATTGTTGAGGATAGTCTACAGGAAAGTCCAGGTTCCATAATTCAGTATCATGTACCATCCTAAGAACTCTTGCAGTTTTATCCCCGGGAACTATACATCAACGGAGATAAATTAGATTACATACATATACTATACAATAAGAAAAGAGTGTATAGTAAGAAAGAAAATATATATATATATATAAACATACCTTGGGGAACGAAATAGATTCTTGATTTGTGATAGGTATCTAGCATTTCATCCGAGAACGGTGGTATCCTTTCAGCATAAGCCCATATAGATATCACACCATCAAAAACACCATGATCCTCAAGAGCCAATTTGATTCTATCAAATATGGTTTCAGGATCAAGACCATAGGGGAATGGGCACTCGTTGATGTCCCAGAAGATGCCTGTCTTAGTCCCTGAGACATGTGTGATAGGCTCTGCACAAAAATTTACGAAATGAGAAATGACAATTGAACTAAAATAGTTATAGATGGTCAGAAGATGAAAATCATACATACCGGAGAAATCTTGGCAGTTGGAGCGAGAAGTATTGGCAACTAGTGAAGAAGAAGATGAGGCTCCTCCACTTTGGTCCATAGCCTTTCGTCCGTCTAATAGATATGTAGAACAACATAGCAGGTCTGGATCATCATGAAGAAATAACTCTTGGCTGCTTTCAGGCTGAGGCTGTACTAAGAGAACATTGTAACCTCTTGATTTCAAAGCCCACAGGATTCTTCTGGACTCCTTGTCTTGAGGGATACTTTTAGAGATTACCATCAAATTTAATGGTTTACTGGACTTTGAGCATCCAAAAACCATTTCCCGTAACAATTGATTATCTGGAACTGCATATATATATCAACAGAAGGGTAAGGATCATATCTGTATATCTTAAGTAGAAGAAAAGAGGAGTAGTAGAAGTATTAAATAAGTTTAAGGAAGTCACTTACAGTTGTGGTTGAGGTACAATATTCCAGCTTCGTAATATTCATCTAACTCGTCATCGTCTTGGTCTATCTTCTCACCATAAGACAAGATTTCGAACTTATAACAATTACATCTCATTCTCTCAAGAGCTGATAGAATGGTCTTATAAATCAATCTAGGCTTGATATCTTTAGGGATTGGGTAATCGTCCATGTTCCAGAAGACGCGTGTGTAATTACTCTCACCTGCGAAACGCATGCATAAACGATTATGAAACAGTATCCCCACGTACCTATTACAATAGTAGAATTATATACATATATATGACATGCGCTTGTTAGTTAATTACTTACAGATCGATCAGATGTAATCTAAACAAGTGATTGCGACAAAGGAAGAGAGATGATCTTACCACTTTTTATTTTTGACATGGCCAAGTTGTTGTTCATGGTTGAGAGATGAGAGGCTATGGGAGAAACGAGATAAAAGAAAAGAGTCAAATTAGGGTTGAAATGTTAAGTGTATTCATACACAAATGACAAAAAGAAAAAAAAAGCCACGGCAAAATTTTGACAGAAAACATATATAGAGATTTATATCATAAAAAAGAAGAAAGATGGAAACGTCAAAGTGTAGTCATACTGTTTGACTCGTCGTCTAGGTTCTCCGGATCAGAAGAAACAGTTTCCCAGCTAACGCTAGATTCTTCACCGGGAAGGTCAAAGTCGATAGGACTTGAACCATCTAAGAATGTAGTACACTTAAAGATTGAGTCTGGAGAAGAAAATACATGTGCCTCATCATCATCATGAGGAGGCTGAACCAAGAGAACATCGTAACCTCTGGTTTCCAAAGCGCGAAGAACCCTGAGCAACTCGTCGTCTTCTTTTGGGGGGCTTTTTGTGATAACCATCACACTTCTTCCTTCCTCATCAGAATAGCAAGCTCCATATGTAATAATGCGAAATAACATCTTATGAACTCTATTGTCTTTATCTGGATAAAGTAAACCAAGAGAGAGAGAGATTATATCATTTCAGAAAGAAAAAAAAAAGAGTTTTTTTTGTCAAGGAGGAGGAATTCTCACCTTCGATGGCTTCGTATGAGAAGGTGATATCAGAAGCACTTTCCAAGCTCTGCTCCTTAGGACCAAAAGCCCAGATTGTCATCTGACTACCAAGATAACCCATTCTCTGCAGAGCTGATCGGACATAACAATAAATCAATTGAGAACTAGGGGCTCCGGTTTCAATTTCATCGACGAGCCAGAAGACGCCTGTGCAGCTCGAGTACCAAGGCCCTGGAACGGAGAAACCGAATTATACGATTACTACAATCTTATTAGATCCACTTATTCACACACCGATTTGTTAACTCAGTACAGATCGATCGATCGCAGATGAAATCTAATCAGTTGATTTCGAGCAAGGAAGAGAGATTCTTACCACGTTTGTCTTTTGACATGCCCGAGTTGTTCATGGTTGAGAGATCAGAGATGACACCTTTCTCTTTGGGAAAGAGAAATAGTACAAGAGCAAAATTAGGGCTGAATTTTTTTTAGTATATATGTACCGGACTGGACTGGATATGAAAAGGCTTAAGTTAACATATCGCTTAAAGGATATTTCCCCATTCTCACTCTAATTAATTTTATAATAACTTCCAAATTAAACTTTTATTGGCTATATGTTTCATTAATCGATTGAAACTAGTATACAGAATCGAAGCTATAAGAAACAAAGTATGAAACTGCTCTGCTCTATTTTGTTCCTTTCTATACAAGGCATCTCCAAAATCATATACATCTCTCTCTCTCCTCTCTGTTTCATCTATCCATGGCAACTGTACACAAAACCAAAAGCTACGGAGCGTAGTAGAGCTGGAGGAGAGTTGTAGAACGACCAGTAGATATCTCGTGTACAGTTATATTCGGGCCCATATAATATACTCCAGCCATCGATTGCAAAAAGTAGTCTCTATCGTCTTCTGGTGTTAGCTCGTCAATGGCATCGCGGATGTCTCTCACGGTTTGGTTGGGTCTAAAAGGAATATCTACTGACCTACCATCGGCCAAGTTGATTGTTATTGTAACACTAGTCCGCGCAGCTCTAGGCCCCAGAATTATCCTGTCTTGAATGTCAACAGGATCACGGAATGTCTCCGTGCTTGAATCTTCCTCAACAGCCTTACCCTTTAAGTTAAGACAAAGCAAAATACTCAGAAGAGAAGATTGAGAAATGCTAGCAGTACTATATATATCAGTGTTGCGTTCCCTTTTTTTTTATAGCTATCTTTAGAAAACAGATAAAGCCAAGCCAAAGAAAGACCATCAAGACATGATAGAATGTTAATTCTTTATGTAAAACTAAGATCCCCATTACCTGCTTCTGTTTTTGAAAAGACAAGCAAGACCAAAGTAAAAAATTGCAGAGGAAGAGAAAGTTACATACATCCACTTGAGACGACACCATTCCAGGAATAGCTAATGCGGAGTTTACTTCACCAGCCTCTTCAAGCGACCTTTCTGACTCGGTTGAATCAACCCCCATCGAACTGTACCAGTAAGCGTATAGCAGAAAAAAGATTCAGAAATGAAAGTTTATCGATCCTAAAGGGACAGGAGAGAGATACCTACTAAACTACTCCATAAACCAACATCTACGGGACTATGCCATACTTCGTGGCGACATTGCAAGAAAGAAAAGTGGAAGCAAAAAGAGAAGAAGAAGAGATCACCTAGAAGTGCTTCCTATTTCGCCTTCATTCCAGTAACCAAGTGAAGCCTCAAACTGCGATTGCGAAGGTAATCCCGTGGATGAAAGAGGCAGACCTCTGTTCTCCTCCAAACTCATAGCAATTGCGGCGGAAATGTCATCCTCATCCTTTGAGAACCCGTCCATGTAACAGCCGATGGCTTGGGTTACATCCCAATTGCAGATTTGAAGGGTATAGATTGCTTGCTCTCTGGACGCTCCATCAGCCACACTGCGGAACTGTGAGATGAGTTCATCCAACTGAGACTGTTGGTCTGGCGAATTCGATGGCGCTTCAGCAGATTCCTGGCTCACCGGAAGCTCCGGCAATATTTTACTGCGGCAAGCCTCCATAGCCGGATCCGATTTCCACTTGAATCCCTCAAGGTAATAGAGTGCTTCTTCTCGGTACACATTGGTATCATCGCAGGCTCGATCAACCCAATTCTCCATTGGCGGGCAAACACTACTACTTTCCTGGATATTTTGAATCTGAATGCATCAAAATTGAGTTCCCTTCTTTCTTTTAACTATCTTAACAAAAAAATACAGAAAAGGCCAAGCGACAGGAAGACTATCAAGAATGAGAAAACTAAGATTCCCATTCTTCATTGCCAGGTCTAGTTTGAGCTTAACTTTTAGCAAACACATGTCAAGGAAATAGTAAGACAGTAGCCAATTAGTGCAGAGGAAGAGAAGATTATACTACCTTCACTTGAGATGACGCCACCAGAGGTATAGCTTCAGGGATATGTTCTCCTGTCGAGTCAACCTCCTTCGAACTGTAAAAGTAAGAAAATGGGGAAAAAGAAAAGATTCAGATATGAGGAACCAAGAAATGACATTCAAACGAATACAGTAAACCCTAATTTCACAAGACCACAGAACTCGAATCAGAAAGAAAAACCCTAAACAAATTCACGAAAACGAATCCATACCCAGAAGAAGAGCTCCCGATTTTAAGTGGTTTATACTTCGATGCCGGAGCTGATCTTAGAGGTTTCGGATTCGACATCTGTTCAGCAGCAGTTGGACGGCACTCTTCGTAGAAATAGCCGACGGCTTGGTCTATAACCCAATTGCTGCGCGAGAGGTAAGCGTATGCGTCTTCTGAACTCGTCCCAGGAGCCGCGTCGAGAAATCGTGTGATACATTCATCTCTCGATTGCTCTTCCGGCGGATTCACTATCGGAGGTGTCGAAGGCGCCATCGACGAGGAATTCTCGTTCACCGGCGAGGATTCAAACCCGAGTGACGACAACGGCAAGGATTGGCTGCGGCAAGCCTCCATCGCCGAATCCAAATTCCATTGGAATCCGTCGAGGTAACAGATAGCTTCTTCCATACGCACTCCAAGTTCATCGCAGATTCTTTTCACCGGATCAATCATCATCGTCGTCATCCCCAATTTGGGCGGGACTTGTACTCTTTTTTTCTCTCCTGAGTTTACTTTTTACCAAGAAGACGAAAGATTTTCTTGTATAAAACAGCGTCGTTTATAAAGGGCCAGCCTAAACGACATCGTATATAAGCAATTACGTCCACGAAACACCAGGGGTAAAAAAGGTAAGTAACACTTGGACTAAAAGAACAAAGTCAAGAAACGAATAAAATCGACTAAAAAACCTTTAATTAATATTTATACACACTTTTTTTTATTTAAAAAACAAAAATTGTTGAGAAGAAAAAACTCCAACTATATAGAAATGGGTGCAAAATAAAACCACATTTTTCTTCTTTTCTTTTGTATAAAGAACTTTGTAGAAACTATCTCTTATAAGTTGCAACCAAGCTCACATCATCTTCTTCGAGTTTCTGCTCCTCAAGCTCTATAAGTCTTGCAAACACACCGACCAAAGGGGCTGTATTGTAGGTACAAGCTTCGGTTTGCACGTAATTATCCCTCCGGTCATCAAAATCATCCTGGTGATCCGGTCCTCCTACCAAAGCCCCGACTAAAACACTCGGGTTAGGCTCGGGCCGTCCGTACCAATTATCATATCCTTGCGTACATCCAATGAACCCCTTGTGTTCTTTAAAAGAAGCAATAGACGCGCCTCGATGATGAACCTTAGTCGGGTATTTTGGACCGTACCCGACTAGATAACTAGTCTCCATTGGGTTTGATCCTAAAATGTAATCGATTTGGGATTTCGCAAACACGAGCATTTCGTCAGGGGTTACGGTCCCTTGGTGACACTCGAGATCGGTGTTTGATTTGCGTAGATGATCGGAATATACGGTAAGGAGAAAAGATGCGGTGGATACGTATTGCATGTTGTTCCATTGCCGGACGTAGAGTAAACCGGCCGGAGTCCGCTGGACGTTAGTGCCGTTTATGTTCTTGTTTAGGATTGAGCATAGGTAATGATCCGCCTTTGATTTATATTGCTGTAAGACTTTAGAGTGTTGCTTGTGCTTTTCTTCTTTTAGCAACTGAATTATGAGGCAACAAAATAAACCATTAGTAAATTTCAAAGCAATACATTAAAAAAAAAAAAAAAGTATATTGATAAAAAATAGTAACACCTACTCCACATTATGGCTTTTAAAGCCAAATTGACTAGTGTTTTTCACTACACATGTCAACTTCAAAGTTTTGCAATTTAACTGACTTTTCACTAACGTTTTGTTGTTCTCTATTAGGCATCGTTACTTGTTAGCAAGAAAATTGAAAAGAATAATGCAAATCAAATACTCCAATTAGCACTAATTTTGTGGAATATTCAGCCAGCTAACTTAAATTTTTTCTTCTTCATAGGTTTACACCATTTTGGCCCTATAAAAGCAGCAAATACTATTCCCTATCTCTTTTTGTTTCCCTTTGTTGAATTACAAGTATAAGAAAACTACTTTAGCAAGTAAGGTTTAGAATCACGTGCCGTAAAACAGAACCATTAAAAGATACGTACCCGCTTAGAGGAACAGAAGCACGTGACCCTTTAGTTATGTTCTGTTTCATACTTGACTTTTTTTCTTACAAAAACAAATGCTACTAATATTTAGTTTTTAAGTGTTGAATTTATTTTGTTGCATACAATGAAAGAGAAATTTTGAATAGTTGTTGTATGTAACGTGGGGGTAGGGATTACCCTACTTTTGAGTCATTCAACATCAGAATGTTAGTTAAAAGCTTTGATAAATCACCTTCATATAAGGCAATAATACGATTCTACCTAAGTCTTAAAATTGGACTAATAAGAGGCTAGTGCTATGCATATTTAACTTAACCAAAAGAAAAAGAAAAATAGACTAACCATGGAAGCGAGGAGCTGAACACCGGCGAACTTGACGTCCCAGCTAAACTCGGACATGGCCCAAGACAGGCCACCGAGTTGGTGAGCCATGTCAACCACATAACTCATATAGTGCTCGTTGTCGGTGGCTCGATAAAGCCACGTGGCTCCCCATAAAAGCTCGTCCATGTACCCACTCACTGAGGCATAATAACTTTTCACAACTTTTAGGCTCTCATCGTATTTTCCTCTGTACTTGTCTCCAAACTCAAACAACTACACCAAATCAAAACCATAACCATAACTACAAAATTAAATAAAATGTCGGTTCCAACTGTAACACTTAAATAAAACTAAAATTAAAAAGTGTGTACGTACTTGTTGGGCATGGTGCAAGAGAAGGTGAGAGTAATGTGGATTTGTTGAACGGAAAACGATTGAAGCAGCTGCCATAGCCGCCGCGGTTTCTCCGGCGATATCTGATCCCGGATTGTTCTCGTCGATCTTAAAAGCTCGCCGTGAAGTCGTCATGTCCTCCGGTCTTTGCCAACAGTAGTGGTCAGTGTCTCCGTCGCCTACTTCGGCCCATAAGACATTAGGACTCGTGTGAGCCTTGATGAAGTAATCTGTTCCCCACTTGATCGCTTCAAGCGCGTGAGATAACTCGCCGGTGGAAGCAAGTGAGTCCCCGTACTCTATTACACTCCAAGACAACATGGTCACCGTAAAAGCCATCGGAAGTCCAAATTTAACGTGATCTCCGGCGTCGTGATAACCTCCCACTAAATCCACCTTTATAACACAAAAAATAAAGTCACGTCACTAATTAATTTCAATATTAAAATCTCTAGTATTACATTTTCAATCATAGTCATATATTTTCTAGTCTCTTTTCAAACTAGAGAAAATAATTTCTCAAAATAGAAACAAACACTTAATTTCAGTATTAATTATACACTAAATCTCAATTTTAATTAGCTTTTAAATGGAGTGGAGTTTTTTCAAATTCAAACTAATAATAATTGCAGTACATTAAAATTAGTACTGTATGATGTTTTCAAAAGAAAATTAAATTAATAAAATAAATGGGGTTTGAGTTATGGTAAAAGAAAACAAACCCCTTGCTCAAGACCGTCGGTGAGACCGGAGTGATCACGCCACGTGACGCGCTGGTTATACGGAAGCCGACCTGATCTCTGAGCTTCAAAGTAGAGTAAGCTTTTGGACAATGCATCGCCGTAGTCGAAACCTCCCACGTCCGTCTCCGAAGAAAGACCGGCCAACGTGACGGGGGAGAAGATAGTGATCAAAAGAAGAAGAAGAAGAATGAGGAGAAGACGCCATTGCTTGTGTCGGTGATTTCTTCTCTCAGCCATTGTGTTAGAAGATCGATCTCTCTCTCTAACTAAGTCTCTGTTTGGAGAATGAAGAGAGATACAGAGAGAGAGAGAAAGCGTTGGAGTCGTCTCACACTAAAGACTCTCTCTCTTTCTCTGCTCCTCGCAGTAGAGAGCAGAGAGGGTTTTATTTGAAAGCTCTGTGGTGTGTGGAGTGGTGGAAGAGAGAGAGAGAGATGACGTGACTTTTTCTTCTTTTTTTCTTGTGTTGTAACTTTATGTTTTTCTAATCTGAAATATTTCACATGAGAAAATATGTGCGTAGACCTTTTGCTTTTTCCACATAGTGGTGTGCAATGTAATGGCCGTAATTTATGCAGCTAGTTATTGCTTTTGTTATGCTATTCTAGTAGAGACGAATTAAAATTTTTAAAAGTGCTTATAAAAAGTAATTTTAGATTATACTAGTACAGTATATTACACTTGTTGAACATTTAAGGGTGTTTTATGATACTTTTCCTAATGATTTCAATGTTTATTTCAAAAGGTGGTAATAATTTCAACTTACTTAGCGATCTTGTTGGAATTTTTCAAAAGGTAGAAGAAGGAGATCGAGTAGTCCTCGTTAATGTCGACAGTGTAACAGTTAAAAGAAGGAGGATTTGGACCGATTTGTCTCTGCCTAGCTATAATTATTAGAGAATGTATATAGTAATTTATAACTTTCGACCTCTTTTTAGTACTCACAAAACTTTTGGAAACTCTTGTTACTATTATCACTAGTTTCCATGAAACGGTCCAATAAATAGACTAATTTAATTGGGATAAGAAGACAAAAGATGTTTCGAAACCGTACAATGTAAATGGTTGCTAGGCAGAGAGAAACGTTCGTTGCTGTTAGGTAAGGTTCATGTGTTAGTGTAAGTGTGTTTGGCAGTGAGAATCATGGGATTATCGTGAGTAGTATAGCTAATCTCTCAATAACTTTCGTTTTGGCTTCGTTAATTGTAAAATATTATATTATACAAGTTATATATAAATTATATGATACTAAAATAAACTGACTAGTTCTCTCTATCTCGCAACAATTTAGTTTATTTTCTTTTGTAATAAAAAAAAGTTAGCTAGTGACTATCTCTTCGAGTCATTATTAATAAAATATGTTTTGCTACAGATATTATCATGAGTATTTTACTCTGTATTTCTTACTTATTATAAGCTCAGTATGTTACTAAGAATACACTTGTATAAATACAGTATTGTAAACATTCTTTTACAGTTAATGAGAATAGTTACGATTTTATCTCTCCTACTTCATCTTCAGCTCACTCTCTCTCTAGCTCTTCTTCTTCTTCAACCTGATGAAGCTGAGTTCTTGATATGGTATCAGAGCAATCACGATTCTGAATCATGAGTGTATCATCGATCGAGCTTATTCTCATTCATTTCTTCTCAATTCTTTTGGAAATTTCAACGATTCTTGTTCTCGCGATTCTTCAATTCGTGTTCGCGGTTCTGTAGATCTTCTTTTTCTTCTTTGATTCTTCTTTATCTTCTTCGATTCTTCTCCGATTCTTCGATTCTTTCATCATCTCATTTTGGTTCTAACGATTTAGTTCACGATTCTTCGATTTCACCATGGGCTCACAACAACCTCGTCCTGAAGGATCATCTTCCCAATCGACTGTAACGGATCTTTATGAAAATCCTTATTATCTTCATGGCACCGATCATGCTGGATTGCAACTTGTATCAGATCGTCTAACTACAGGAGCAGATTTTCATACTTGGAAGCGATCTGTGAGAATGGCGTTAAATGTCAGAAACAAATTGGGATTTGTTGATGGTTCAATACCAAAGCCGCCTGCAGATCATCGCGATTCTGGATCTTGGTCAC